ACTCGCACCTTCCCATCTCATATCCAATTATGCTCTGACATAAATTCATCAATCAACATTCGTTTGATCATTTCCAATTCAAATCTCTAGAACAAAACAAAAAAGAATCAAAAGGAAAGAATATCCCATCACTAAATCAGGTTTTACAGCTTAAAAAGCATCACTTTAAAGATTCAACCTTTCTTCACATCTTAATAAACTATTCCGCTTTCCAAACGGATCCAAAAGGGAATAATCAAGAATCCAAAACGGGGCAGCTAGCAAACCTACTGATTACATCCAATCAAAATCAATACCAGAAAAATGACGATGAGAAAAATAAACATATACAAAATTAAGCAAAACCCAGAAAAGAAAATTCACCGATCTTGACACGCACAATCCAAACGACGTTATACCAGCCGATAGATCGAAAAGAATCTCAATTACTTGCAACGATTTTGAATAGTGGAATTCAACCAACAAATTCACACACGCACACACAATAATCAAAATGCACACGCGCGCACGCACGAAACGAAAGGGAGCAATAGTTTATTCAAATCGAAGGCAAGAAAACGATAGATTCACCATGTTGGGTACGGATTTTCGCTTATCGCCAAACACATGTCAAGCTTCTTCTGCAAATGTGTACGAAAAAAAAATGGAAACTTGGTGGCTCCCTCTGTCACCTCTTCCCCTAAAATTGGAAAAAACAAAAACGAAGAAAGGATCAAAGCACAAGCCGATTGGAATTCGCTGAATTTACCAATAAAATATTTGTCGACTTTTTTGAAAGAAAATAACGAATCGAGGAATCAAGAAGCCGGACAAAATGCAAAGATTACACAGCTCTGCTGGAGACCTTGACAGAGAAAGTTGAGAGACAGAGAGGTGACTAGACACAGCCGAGCTTGACTCAATAATCAAACGAGCTACTAATGAAATCGATCATGAGCCCGACTCATTTTAACAAGACAAAGTATAAAAAATTATATATAAAAATAATATTTTTGAATCTCAACAAATCGAGTCACTCAGAACCGAGTCTGGCTCGTTAATTAGATGTGTTTTCATTGAATTTGAATTTGGCTCGTTTTTCAAATGAGGAGAGTCAAAATTGAATCTTAACGAGTCAAATTGAGCCCAGCTCGTTTCATTCTCAGTGAAAAACACTTAGATTTACGTGTTGCCTTTCCTTATAAATTAATATGGTGTATTTNNAAAAACAAATGTTACCTTCAAAATTACATTAACTATCTGCTTGAGCGAGACTAAAAAGTAAAAGGGTAAATCATTAAGGAATTAAGATGAACCGAGTTTGAGGTCCCCACACTTGAACTTTTATTGAGCAAATATTGTGCCTAAATGAATTGATTTCATTTAACAACTCTAACGACTCTCGAATGGATGTGGTAAATATTTGAAATGAGTCAGACAAAAGAAAAAAAAAAAACAATAATTGAGATAAAAATTATGGCACTCCAATTGTTCCGAGATTCGAAAGGCGTCCGTTGTCACTCCTCCTGTCCCGACTTTCTACACTTATGTTCGTTCAGTCGACTCAATAATCCAGGGTTTTCAATGCTCGTTAATTCTCCCTCAAGACTTGCGCTTCTCGTTTGTGTTTAGTCATGGCCACGATTCAGCCGACCCAGCGTTTGGTCCAGATCGCTCTAAATCATGTTTTTTGAAAAAATAAAAAATAAAATTGAATCGTCGATTTTCGAGCCCGGCCTGATGGTTCGCCGCTGAAATTCTAACTTATTATTTTATTTAAAAAAATTGATAATTTTACTTTTTTATTTTTTTAATTTCAAATTTAGGCTTGGGCCGGTCCTGAATCACTGGGTGGTTCTAATATTGGGATCGCAGGTTCAATGAACCCGTCGGATGCAAATTTTGGGCCCAATTTCTGTTCAACAAAAAATTGAGTCATGAACCTAGCGGTTCAAGCCCGGAACAATGCGACCCATCTTTTGGCCGAAAAATCGTTGTTAGCCGTTAATTTTTAATTTTGTAGCTTAAAGAGATTATTAAAGAAGAATGAGAAAGCACATTATTATAAAAAAACTGTCATCTATACTTATATTAAAAGGTATACCATTTATCAGATTTAGTATAAAGAAAAGTCAACAACATTTATTGCATTACTATTTCCGTATTATACAATTCATATTTATATAAAAGAATATTTTATTTACTATATTTACTATCCAGAAAAGTCAACTGCATTAAATGTCATTACTATTTTGGTATTATAATATTTTATTTATTTAATTGATTTATTTATTTATTTTATTTTAAAAAGGTAAGTATAATAAAAAGATTTTAATAATAAAAAAATCAAATACCAAATAAAAATGTACACTTTGACTTATTTGATTATATTTGGTATTTGATTATACCAAATATATTCCTATTTAGTATATACATTAAATACTTACTAAAGTATTTATTTGCTTTATTTGTCAAAGTTAAGTATAAATTTGTTTATATTATCAAATCATAAAAATAATATTAAATTCATATTGTAAAAAAAAATAAAAATTCATATAATTTTATAACAATTCTACTACACTATTTAACAATATTTCTTTTTTATTATATAATAAAATAATAATTAAATATTATATGGTGAACAACAATAATAAAACTGTTACTTTCTCTTATATCAAGGGATAAATTTATATGCTAAAGTTAAATTTTTATTAGTATAAATGTTTTAGTGAGATAATATATTAATTATTTTACAAGCTAGCATTAACATGCTCATATTTAATGTTTTAAAAGATGTAGAAAAAAATCTTATAATAACTCTATTGTTTTTTAGACTTAAACGTTGATTAAAAGAGGTAAAAATTCCTAATTTTTTAGACTTAAACGTTGATTAACACCATAGATTGAGAGTTTATATTTAGTAAAATTTCTAATTGTAATAAAAAAATTAATTTTTGTTATATTTTAGAATATCTTTAAATTCATTATAAAAAAAAAAACTACAATGAAAAAAGCAAGTCAACTATATATCGATTTGTTGTACTTCTCAAATCACATTCACAATTTGGTTACAAGGAAAGAAAACTCATTGATTAAAATATTATTTTGGCAGTAGTTTTAATGTACAAGAGACTTTAAGACTCCACTTGAATATTATAAAACTTTTATTGAACATTGTACAATTTTCTTGCGTATTATAAACTTTTATTGAATATTGCATCTTATAATATAATATTCTCCAAATAAATATATCTCGTGCTTTGAACGGGTCACATATTATATATATCCCGTACATTTTTCTTTATTCATGTATATAATTATAAGTTTGGATAATATTCTCTAAATAAATATATCTCGTGCATCATCGCACGGGCTCTGTACTAATTGCGAATAAAAGTTGATCATTGATAAGCACATTATCTATCCCAATATTTTTCTTAAAAAACTGGATCATTGGGAATAAAACGAAATGGGATTTAAAATTGATAGTCGCAAAAAAATTAATATTTTTCTTAAAAAGCTGATCATTGGGAATAAAAACGAAAACGGGATTTAAAATTGATAGTCGCCAAAAAAAAAAAAAGAATGCGGTGAGCGTGGATCGAACACGCGACCTTCAGATCTTCAGTCTGACGCTCTCCCAACTGAGCTATCCCCGCATTTTGAAAGAAAGAGATAAAATATTTATTNAACAAAATATTAGGTTTTTTTTTTAACCTCAGTTGAAGAGTGTGCATGACAACTTCAACGGTTTTCTTTGTGTTTATGTGCTTTCCTAATCTATTTTTAGTTTTTACCTACAATTTAATCACACAGACAGCCAAGAATCTCAAATCTTTCCTTTAAGCAATTATATTAGTGAATAACAGCAGAAATTTACAACCCTTTATTCAAGAGACAGAGAGAGAAAAGAAAACAATGGATTTCACCAAGTATTTCCTTTCTGAAAGCCTCATTTTATAGACATCGTTCTAATTAAAAAGTGAGGAATTACATTAAAAATGGATTATATATGTAAAATTATATCCAAACAAATCTCTATAAATCTAGTATTTGGGTATTTTATCTTATTATATTATTTTCTCTATCCTATAATGATGTTTCAATGCTTAATCTTTTTTTCTCTCCTTTCAAATAAGTATTTATAAAAATTGTCAAATAAAACCAACTCATAACAAGAAAGAGATAACAAAAAATTAAATAAATATAATACAATTAATTAGCAAAAAATTATACAGCAACAACGTCATGATTTTGAATGGAGCGAGTACAAAATTGTATATACAGCACCCAACAATTATATTTAGATATTTTTTGTGTACGTGGGGCTAACAGTAAAGGCTTTTCATACTTTTGTAACAAAAATGCATAGTTGTAATATAAAATCTTAACTTTGTTTATATTATTTTTAAAGTATGATAATTCAATTTAAAAATTTTAAAAATACTACTAATTTGTTTAATATATGCCTCAGTCTTGTAATATTTCGTTCTCATTTACTTTTGGAGTTTTTTTTTTTAACTTTTATGTTAGGAAAATGGAGCAATAAAAATTAAATTAATCACAATATAATTTCGAGATCGAGTCTGATAAAAACTGAATTTTCCAAGAGTCAGTAACGTTGGAGCAAAACGATGACTGAGCGTAATTGAAGATTTGTCATTTTAATTGATGATTTAACATTCCATCTGAAAATGGTAATTTTCCACACTTCAAACCTTTTTCAATTTAACAGATATATCAAGCAGATAAAAAGGTCCTTGCAAAAATTGACCCATCATAAACCAAGAAATCTACAATAAAAAACCAGGAACATTATAAAGCTATAAACTCCAATAAATCTACAATTAAAAATCAAGAATCATACAAAGCTACAAACTCCAGTCAAAGTATAGCAGAAAAAAGGAAGACTTTTTGCTGTACAGAATTGGGTCTGCAGATGAAACTCCTCAGGCGACTACACATAAATATGCAAAAGTCTTTCTTTACGGGCATTTTCTATATAGCGCTATAATCTACAGCAGGGTAATTGAAATACGAACCTTTTTTTTTTTTTTTTTTATTTATTTATTCCGGTCAGCAGCAGTTCAAATTCGGTACTTTCAACTCTTAACAGAATGAACTTTTCTTTGCTTTCACTAATCCCACAAAGCTTCGGTCAAATTCATAGTTGGGCCCAATATCTACTTTCCCTCCTTTTTTCCAGAACGTTGCTTCCACGAACTCTGCAACCCCAAACAGAACGAAAAGTATTAGCGGAAAAAAAAAAGGTCATTCGAGGTTCAGCCTAATCACAAAAACACCCAGTTATAAATCCAAAATTTCTAATAGACCCCATCTGCAGGTCTCGATATGAAAGGCCTCGAAGGAAGTGTTATTCGTTAACGCACAAAGGAACCTTTTTTTTGCAATGTCTGAAACTAACAACTGGGACATTTTCGTAACTAAGTCAAACCTCAAGGGTATTTTGGCAATTATCATCGAGCAAACCTCTATCACAAAAACACCCAGTTATAAATCCAAAATTTTAAATAGACCCCATCTGCAGGTCTCGATATGAAAGGCCTCAAAGGAAGTGTTATTCATTAACGCACAAAGGAACCTTTTTTTTGCAATGTCTGAAACTAACAACTGGGACATTTTCGTAACAAGTCAAACCTCAAGGGTATTTTGGCAATTATCTTGAATAATATTTTACGAGCGAAATGCTGAATTTGATTACCAGAGTCTCATCATCTGAAAACTCTGCATCGACAGTATCAGAACTCGAGCCATTGTCGGGCTTTTCCGAGCTATCAGCCTCATCACTCTCCCCTGATTCTTCATTGTTCTCATCACTCGATAGCTTATTTTCGGAAGAGGAAACTGCTTCATTATTGAATGATGATGATGCATTAGCTTCAGGGGACGAGCAGCCATGATTTTCCGATTCTTTTTCATCGTTTAAGGCCACCTCAGCAGGACTTTCTTCCTTGTCCGATAGCTCCATAGTCTTCTCGACTCTTTCCTCATCTTCCTTCTCTGTGTTGCCAGAAAACAAGCGTGTAAAGTTGAAAGATAGAAAAAAATAAATGTATTGTTCGATAAAATGGTCTACGATAGGAAAAATAGTAAAATACCAATAACTTTCTACTTTCAGGTAAGCAATAACAAAGATAGCTCACTTGGAGAGAAAAGGGCACACCACCACTTAAAAGAGAATTTAGGCGCAAAAAAAAAAAAAAACNAAAAACGGCGCTCAACTCGGGATATAGAAGTTAATAAATTGTTTTGGATCATCACCTGAGATTGAATCATCAGAAGGCGAGATTGGGTCAGATTCAGGGGGGGCAATATCTGGGATTTTCGGTTTCTTGAACGGATTTTTTCGTGGAGTTCTCTTTCCTCGGACTTGAGAAGTCAGAGATCTGCCAGTAAATTTTAGTTATATAAATCGATCGTCAAAAGAGAAAAAAACGTAAAAAAAAATATATGTATATAAAAAAAAAATGAAATGCCTCAGTTTTAAATTTTGATAAGTAACCAACTCACTTTTCAAAATTTTCTTCTTGTTTTGGGGCTCGGCTTGAATTATTTCCTTTCCCGGATGATCTGCATATAAAACAAATTAATGCACACGCAACAACTGACTCTCCACGTGCAGAAAATATGCACGTGCAAGGGTAAAGGGAAACTATATGAAATGTGATATTTGGATGATTGAAGTATAAAAGCATGAGGTCTAGATGACGAATAAGTTCCTCGAAATCAACTATATCTACTAAGAATATGATTTCTATACATTATTCATTCATATCGTAAATGGGCATATTATTGCTCTTGCTTGGGCATGCACTTACTTGAGAACAATGGTTGTTAGGTTGTGAGGGAGGACAAAGTTATACAATAAATGTAAACCATGTAGTAGGAAGAATTCATTAGGAAGATCAAAATATTTCGATTTCTATATTTATATAAACTATGCATTCGTTTTCCTCAGAATAGAAACAATTATCCCTATAAGGTCCAAATGGGAAAACAAAGGAAAGCAAATTCAAAATAATTTTTTATCACGTACAGATCCAAAAGGACGTCTAAGAGTGAACTTTTAATGATCGTTCGATATCAATGGACTTTTGAATACAAGGATTTGACAACCACAACCATTCATTAAACTCATTTGGATACAATAGATTTCGAACTCCTAAGCTACAATTTTGACCTTTTTTTTCGTTTCGTATGGTAAACTTCAGATTCTTCAGTCCAAATGTACCATAAAAGTAGTCACGCAATATTACCTTAAACTAGTGTGGTTGATAATTAATGGAAGGACTTCATAATGTTGAGTGAAAATAATACTTTTAGGGAAACAAACATCTTGAGAAACTTGTAAATATTATTTAACTTCTTAAGACACGGCATCTTAGCAATAAGTAACAGATGAAGTATATATGAATCGCTAGTGTACATTTGAAGTACTAAAATTCGACACACAAAAACATCTCTGGTCACAAATTACATAGATGAACATCAAGTTCCAAAAAAATCAAAAACTTCTACCAATTATTCTAGTGCAAACAGAAAGAGCAATACTTTTGATTTCAAAATTTCCCTATAAATCATTGTCGATGAATTGTTGAAAATATTGTAGAAACTAATTAACTTACCCGGCTAAAAGCACTAAGAAAGCAAAAATGAAACAAACATACGTATTTTCAGAGTGAAATACTGATTTAGGGATGGTAGGTTTTACGGGGAAATGATTATTAGTAATAAGAAATCACTCACACTATCACAACAAGGGATGGAAGTTGGATTGTGATATATAAAATGAAAACAATAACCATAGATCATCTCACAAATTGGGGTATATATGGATTATTCCAACCTTCTAGTATCTCAAAACCAAATCCCAACAAAAACTCCAACCTAAACACTTCATTTCTCGATTAAACCCATTCCCCATTCCATAAGTAGACTACCAAACACCCCCTTCTACCCCTTGATAAGCCTTATACCAAAAATTCTACGAAGGTCAAATTTTCTCACTCTCATTACTGATATTATGATATTGTATTTACAGTTTCTCATATAGTTTTGATCTTTAAGTACGTACATATAGTTACATGTGTGTGTAAATAAGCAAATTCATATTTAGAAATGGTGGGTGGCAAGATTATGAAGGGGCAAAAAGAAAAATTTGCACCTCAAAGAGAAAGTAGCTGTATTTCTCAAATATTGGACATGCATCTTATACTATATATTAAATGATACAACATTGGTTTATTCTTACCATTACACAATAGTGAATAGTTAGAACTCCGTAAATCATAAAGCAACACATAAATGGAAAATCGAGGGATGAGTAAATGAACATGAAGCTGCAATTTTACAAGTGTAAATGCAGGTTATATGGTGGAGCACTAACCCTCCTTTCCGAGATAAGCCTTTTGATGAACCAGATCCCTGCAAATGGCAGTGAAGATTTCATCAAATATTGCATAAAAATTTTGAGNAAAAAAAAAAAAAAAAACGTAATTAAACAATACTGCCTAAGAGGACAATAATTAGTGAGTGTGTAGACATTGACGGTTGACCTTTGGATCGTTATCGACAAGCTCCCAGCGTTCCTTTTCTAATCGAAGAACTTCCACATCCCCATCATCATACAATATCTTCAGATTTCGGGGAAAAAAAAAGGATCAATTGAAAAGAGAAAATCGTGAGAATTGGTTAAGAATTATGTAAAAGGGTGCAAACATAACACTTAAAAATGTGGCATACATACCACATGCTTCTTTTTCTCAGTATCGAACGACTTCACAACACCTTCATAATACCTGTGCAAAGAGTCAGATAGGTACAACATATTGTCATCATAATTCGAAGATTAATCAAAATCTTCAGGGGATGCTTGGATACAAGAATTTTTTGTTTTGTTTGGATTTCTTGGTTTGGTTTGTTTAATTTTCAAAAATGTGGTCTCGTTAGTTGTTAGTGGGTATATTAAAATAATATTTAAAATGAAATAATTAAAGTCGATTTGATGTAAAAGTATGAGTGAGGGATGTGAAGTGATGGTTAGTTAAGGTCAGAGAGGCTGCCCGATTAGAATAATTCTTAAATGGAGTTAAAATGAAAACACTTGAGAGGAAATATCTGCAGAGAGAATAACATTCTATATGCTGGTCTTACCTTATAAACCTTTTCCCTATGGTTATAAGTGAGACAAATAGACACAAATTTGAGAACACATTGAAAACAACTTACTCCTTATCCATCGGCCACCAAACTTTTATTCTGCGATCAATTAAGTCTTCAGCAGAAGTTCCATTTTCATTGGCCGTACACTAATGATGGCAAAAAAAAAAAAGTGAAGAAAGACGGAAAAAGATCAGCCAAAACCAATTTCTGCTCCAACTAAACAGAATTACAGATCAATTTTTACTCAGAACGAGAGAGAGAGAGAGAGATAGAGAGAGAGAGAGAGAGAGTAAAATTGCAAGCAATTATTTGGGAAAGAAAGTTATTAACAACATTAACTAATAAACTCTGAAAAAGGTCCTCAGAAATTTTAATTCTGTATTATTCTGCGAAATATTGAACCTTTAAGGCAAGGGAACAAACAGTATAAAGATTCAATAACGACAATATTTCGACTACGGTATAAATCACAAGAGGTTGATGTTCCAATCAGAAAGTAAAATATGGATGCACTGATTAAACAAAATATGTCCAAGCACGTACTAAAATATTATTTACAGCCATCTGCCTCTTCTATTTAGCATGTCCTTACTCACAATCTCAAAAGAACTTCACGAGAGATACGAGATATACGACGCACTAACCTTTCCCAACCCACCAAAATCTTTTGATTTCTGCTTCTTCATGGATCCTAACTTGGAATCAACGATTGAACGCGGGCTATTATCGGTATTCGGGACTTTCTTGGGCTTCTGCACGCCATAAGATAAGGTGAAAAAAAAAAACCATCATAATCATGAAACGCCATATTCTTTCCATGAATTTCATCTTGTTGAAAAAAGCATACCTTAGCTTCTGAGGAGATGTCAAGTGCCTCAACAGGATCTCTATCAGATACTCGTTTACCTTTCTGCTTATTAGAGGAAGAGCTGAGTTTCTTCCTAATACGGGAAAACAGCATTTCTGACTCTGGTTGTTCATCAGTTTTCTCTTCCATACGTTGATCCTCCGAACCAGTTTGAGGCTCCTCGTTCATCTTTTCAAAGTCCACATCAGCATTCTCCTTATTATTCAAATTAGTAGTCTTCCTAGAACCCTTTGAACTAGCAGAAGATGTTCTCTTACGCTTGGGCACGGGAATATCGTTTGACTCACCATTCAACCTTTGACTTTTATGGAGCTCGGCTTGACTTCTCTTTTTCCGAGCATCTTCAAGACCGTTGCTAGAATCGAACTTGACACTTGTGTCAAAATTGTCCGAATTTATTTCCTTGACCATTTTCAAGATATCAAAATCGTTTTCTTTCGACACTCCATCTTGTGGGGGCTCATTTTTGGCCGCCTTTTTTATCCTTGCAGCCTTGGCTTTTTTTAGGCGTTGCATTAACTTCCCAAGTGGCATCTCATTGTCCTCTGTTTCACTGTCCTTAAAGATGTCATCCTCCGAAACTAAAGGATGAACCTGAAGTGGAACCCAATACCTTGCAATTAGACTTTTTGATGTAAAAAAGGAATAGTTACTGCAACTAGGTAGAATAATTTTTCAAGACTCACAATTTCAGTAGGTTTGAGTTCGAGTGATTCGAAGTGGGACAAGATGACCTCATCCACCAGCCATGTTTTCTCTTCATTCCCCTAATAATATCAACGAAAAAGTTAGCAATCGGTGACAGTCATAATTAAGCTACTAAAATATAACTTGGAGATACATATTTGCACATCGTTCTTCTGTAAAATGAGCAAAAGAGACTGAAAAGATCTGCTTCTGCCTGAAAAAATTGATATTTATATTTGCCCTTAAGAATGTGCCCTCATTCTGATCTCTAAATGAATCCAATTTGGATTATAGTCAATAATTTCAGCAAATATGTGTGTGATTGCTGAAGATAAGTAACTCAAGCAAAAAGGGCATATCAACCGTGGTAAAAACTAAATTGAAGGGACATTTCTGATCATCTAGGTCTAAAATGTGATGGAGAAGTTCCAGTTGAAGATAATTTTTGTTTTTGTTTAAGCTAATTATACGGAGCTGAACAAACCCAGGTAGAGTAATACAAAGTCTATCAATAGTCATGTTTAATCTCATTGATTCATAAATGAAGACTTGAAGAAATATATACAATATCAATAATCATACATACCAGCGAGTCGTGTTCTTCTTTCTTCTCAAGAGGTTTAAAAAGCACAGCTGGTAGGGCCACAGGCACACCCAACTCTTGAAGTTCATCTTGGTTTGCAGCTATCCTCTTAATAATTAGCACACCAAGGTCACACAGGGCATACAAATTCTGCAATATGTGATTTTAATGTTTAAATTTTTGCACTAAAATAACAATAATCTCATGAATATGCTAGTTATACATCCTATTTTATGGAATAAATCAATAATCTGTCCTCCGTCCATCTGTTCTCATAAGTTGCGAGGTTTTTCGTTAAGTCAAATCGAAATTTCCATCAGATGAGGTGGTAAAATGACATGAAATACACCTAACAGTAATTAATATCAAACCTTGGACTTAGCCAGGTCAATAGCATCTTCTGAGCACCTGATAGATTGAAAAATTGAACACAACAACTTAAGGCTCTCCTTATCCTTGTTAATACTAACGTCGGATTTCCCATCTGCATCATCATGCAATAGCATAGATAGGAACAAGTACAACTTCCTGAAAAAAAGATACACACACATCAAATACAGAATAATGAAACCCTCACTTAAAATAATCAATAATTAAAAAAATAGCTAGAAGACATCATTACAAATTACGAACAGTCGAATAACCATCACCAAAAAATTTCAAACATACCTGAACATGGGTTCATATGATTTGACATCTTTGCATTCATTAGTATCAGGGAAAGAAGGATGATGAGCGAGTGAATGAACCACATATGGGAGAATGTATTCTGGATAAAGAGAAGGTGACATGGCATCAGCCTGTAAAGATATTTGGCGTCCCTTCGCCTGCCGACACATTTGGATTATGTCATCCAGATAGCGCTTATTCTGCCAAACAGAAAAAACAAATTTGAATTATAAACATTTCGCAGTTCCATGTTTTAGATGAAATGCAACTACACAACCAAGAAAAAAAAAAACATCATGAAGTAGCATACATCTTCGAAATCTGACTGTGAAGCTGAATCATCCAGCAAGAAGGCACATGCATACTTTGGGTCTAAAATTCGGTCCCTCACATATTGATGAACTTTGCCGAGAAGCAATTTTTTGACCTCAGGAAAGTTATCCTACAAATTCAATGGAAAGGGATGTTGAGCAATTATGAATAGTTGATTCTTATTAGGTAATAGAATAAGAAATTCCCCATGCATGTTCAGAGAAGTAAACTACCTCTGAAGTTCTCAATGCAAGGTAAAGAACATCAACAGGAATCTTATGCTCCCAGTATTTTGATAAGCGAAGGACAGCTTTTGCTGCAGCTAGTTTCAAATGTGCCTTATCAACTGAACTGTAACATTGATAAAATAAAAAAAGGGAAAATCTTAGGCCATAACAGGGATACGATTAAATAACTCATAACCATGAACTCTATTAATGAATCCAAACTAACCTCGTCTCGATTTCTTTTGAGATATCACCAAAGAGAAGTATATTTTTTATGATACTAAGGACATCATCAATTCCTGAACGAAGGTGCACATCTTTCACAGGTAAATAGCTCTTGACCAATGCTTTAAGACCAAAAATCTGCATACAATTATAATGGACATTTATCGCCAGAGGTGTTCGAAGAGAACAATTCTATTGAGAGACGAAATATATGAAGGATTGCAAGACCTTTAAAGAACAAAGTTCACTTCTATCATCCCAACAACCATCCGCCTTGTCTTCAGTTACCTGTGCTGACACAACTGTTATAACAAATATATAATACGGAAAGAGAACATAGAAAACAAAAAAAATTCAAGTCTAGAGGCATACATGTCCCAGCTTCAATATGTGTTCTTTAATGAATATCTGAATCTCAGTTTCTCTTGTTTCGAAGACTGGCATAGCAGCTTGTGCTATGCATCCGAGAGATTGTAAAACAGCTGGCAAGTGGGATTTCTCTTCAAGCATATCAACTAGCCTCTATTTGTTTAGAAGAAAAGTCAAAATCAACAGAATTTTCACAGCGTGATGAAAAAATATAATTACAGTGAACAAGGAAAAAAAAAAGAGCAAATGAGAATGAGATGAGATAATATAATGATTGCAGAAAGGAAATAACAAGCGTGGACAAAACCTTGTAAAGAACAGAGAGTGACTTAAGACCATCATCTTTTGTGATGGATGCCAGGGCATGAACAGCATACTTAGCCTGCCTCCGGCTGCCTTCAATGCTTATGCGCTCCAGAATAAGGTCTAATGATCTATAAGCATAATTAATGAAATTAAGAAAAAAGATGGACATCCAAAAAAGAACCGAAGAAGAAGAAGAAGCAATGGGAAGGGCAAGCGATTTTGTAAATATTCTAACCTTGACGAGACCCCCAATTTTTCTCTGATAGTTCCCCCGGCCCTAGCAAGAATATGCAAGGTGCCCTCCTTAATTATTTCATTGTCATCCTCAAGCAGATGGCCCAAATCTTCTTCAATTCCACTAAGCAACAGAGGACAAAATCGTGCTAGAATCTGTTAAAAAAAAAAAAAAAATCAGTTTCAAGATTTTTTTGTCACGTAAAATAAATTCAAGAAAGCAGTGACCATATATCCTTCTTCTCAAAAGTCAAGAATATTATGTGAATAAAAAGGACTGGTATGGTTGGGAAGTCCAGATAGAGAATTGATACACGAAAATTTTCATTTTAGTTCTGGAATAGGAAGATGTGACTGCTAACGACTAACGAGTATTTCCAAAATTAACAACATGCACTCACCTTCACTTTTTTTACCCCCCACCAGTCATTTCTATTCACTAAAAGAAACATCAAATCACCAATCATTACATATTTCCTAATAGATTCTACTATTCACTCACTCACATATTTCTGGTTACCAATCATTGTTTTACGATTGCTTTAGCATATATTCAGATTAAGTTTCATTATTACAATTTTATCTCATATCCCAACATTCTTAAAATTTATCCTTCTCCTCTATAAAAATGTTTTCACCACTATTCTCTAGCAAGCAAAAGAAATAAAAAATGAACAGGACTACACCCTCAGTTTTTTATTTGGAAACAAGAAATGACAATACAATACTAGCATCAGTCAGGCCTCCATCTAAGTATGATAATGATAAACCATCATAGCTCATCAACTAGCAATCCAACTCAACCAACATCAGTCATTTGGGGTTCGCGATTGGTGGTTCAAGTTCTATATATATATATATATGTGTGTGTGTATGTATATAAATAAGTATTTTTTATTTGAAAACATGAAATAACAATACAATACTAGCATCATTTACATCTCAATCTAATAATGATAATGATAACCCATCTTAGCTTTACCATTATATATATATACATAATTTTTTATAACAATACAATACTAGCATCATTCATCTAACAATGATAACGATAACCCATCTTAGCTCAGAAACTAGCAATCCATCTCAACCAACAGCACACAGTCACTTTGGGTTTTGCAATTCATGTTTTCCACATTGGTTGTTATAAAATTGTTAAATGGCTGTCAAAATGATACAAGATATAATCAGTTAGGTTTATATGAAAGCATTATAACAATAAGATAATATACCACAAGAATAGCCATGCAGGACAAAATTAACTCAGTGGTTCCAGAGGACTTCTGCACACGAGCTTCCAGAAGAAACTCTCTGACATGATCTTTGTCAAAAAGCATATAAGAGCACTTCAAAGAAACTGCACCCAGAAACTCATACAGTTGATGCTTCTGACCAAGGATCTTGAGCAAATCGTCCTGCAAAGGTTTATAATATCAGAGAAAACCTCATATATGATTGTGCAAGCATCCTGTTGACAGAAACGAGAATAAAGATTAATTAGAAGAAAATCGAAGGTAGTTTTGATTCCGTTTAGTGCCTTACTCGTAAACTACTGGCTTGAAGCGCGCTGGTGTTTGGGTCACTGAGATTTGTCAAATTTCTCCAAATTTTGGCATCTTTTAACTGGTCAAGAATCTGAAAGTTCTCCTCTGACTTTGCAGGATCACTAAAGCAGCGAGACATGACTCGGAAGGAAAACATTACTTTCTTTCTTCTATCAGTGTCATCACCTTCCTGAATACATAACAAAAGAATTTAAATATATTCACAAGTCAAGGAATGAGAAATGTACAATCCCAAGTACCAAACCTGAGACAACTCTCTGAGGGAGAAGTACTTCTGCATCTCTTGTTGTAACCTACATCACAGTAGTAAACATGAAACATATAGTTTGTAAATCATATGGTAGAAAGCAGAAACTAGAATAAAAATTTTAAAAAAAAAATGTACGTCAACACAAGCAGTTTTTACAAACCTTTGCTTCTGCTCTAATATCTTCTCAAGAGCCTTAACCTCAACTTTATCGAATGCAGAGAACAACCTAACCCATCTAGCTACCTTGTCTTTGACAGAAAATTCAGCTGGGAACAAGGACAGAGATAGGATAGGTTCAATTGTATCTAATCTGCAAAGAGAAAACCAGGTCTCAGGATCATATATGAGAAATTGCAAATCAGAACATTTGATTTGAAGTATCTTCGGACCCAAAGTGGTCTACGCTTTCACTTACTCAACAATTCCTATAACCACTTCTTTAATTTTTTCATAGCTTCTTAGTAGCTTTAGTTTGCCTTGAGCAGCAGATAGAGATCATGTTGTTACATTCTTTATAATGCATTTTTGGATTGGTCACATAGTTCAGTCAGGACAAATAAACTAAATCAACTAATCATCTGGAATCAAAATTCATTAACCTACCTGAAATCCTTGTCATAAAAGCATCTCAATATCTTCCCCACAATCCAATCATATTCATCATCCCTTGTCGAATCACTAGAATGCTTAATGCAAGACACTCGGTATATGTCAGCCAACCTCTCCATAGTATACCTTTTAACCAGAACCTGGATTTTTGCAGCAAAAATTATCAGATCGATTTTTGCCAAAAAAAAAAAAATGAAAAAAGAGCTGCTTAGACAAAAAAAAATGAAAAAGAGCTGCTTAGACAAACAGTCGCACATACAGATTTATCACGAAGGCGTTCTGAGATCATCTTGATGGTTTCAATAGGAATGGATTTGAGAGAATGACATGCCACATCACAAACCACAGCGACAACTTGTTTACGAACATTCTCGTCATAATCCAACAATCGGTCACAGAGAGCAGCTGTTGGGTTTATTTTATCATCAGAATAAAGACCACATAGAAAATAGGCTCTAATCAGTAGCAGAAAATGCTTACAGATTATTTGATGAGCTTCGCCTCTGAAAGGATTCTCCAAAAGGCAAGTTTTGACGTAGTCAAGGACGGTCATTCTAACATTGACCACTCTATCCGTCAGCCTTTTCAGAAACTCCGAAAAGACCGGCTCAAATGCTTCAGAAATAGAAGATTTAGGCAAAGCAAAGAGGTCACCCACTAATCTCACTGCTTTCAGGCGAACCTCCACTTGATCACTCTGTCAAAGTCAGACAAAACTGATGAACGCTCTAAACATACACGACTATGGAAACTAAAATACGCACAAGTATGACTGTCAATCAAAATCACCGATTTTGCCCAAATGAATTGTATATATATATATATATATATATATATATATATATGNATATATGGTTTTTGTAGATGGTGAAGAGCTCTTAAAGCACGTCAATTGCAACTCTAGAAAAAGAATAAAAAAAATTCAGAATACATAGCCGACGTCAGGTCCTCTCTCACCTAAAGGACAAAGATCGGACAAAAAACACATTTGAGCATGCCATATTTAGAACAACAACTCAGAGTCTCCTTATCACACAAGAAACATTATATACATGAAAGCAATTGAAGATGATTACCAGCAGCTCTCCGGTGAGATACGGAACAACTCCAGACAAGATTTGAGGGGCGCATTTGTAGATATCATAAATTACAGCATGATAACTAATTTCAGGCTTAACGGGTTTGCTATCCCCCGACATTGATGACACAAGAAATTGCTTTATGCCAGGTTCCAGTTTTGAAGCACAGTTCTCTATCACACTCATTGCAAGTTTCCTTGCAGCCATAGTTACACCCTAGCAGCCAAGCTCCAAAGTTTAATTGTTTACAAGAAAAAAATAAGGGAAAGACAAAAAAACTCAGATCAATAAAAAACTGAGTGGGGTAAGGGAAGAGGAGCACCTCCTTATCACGGCCTAAAATAGACAACAAAATAAACAATAGACTCTCTGGTACATCTTCACATTCATCTAACAGAACCTCCATTATCGTCTGCATTGAAGTCAACACATTCCCAGGATGCTCGTCCCTGCATGCCAAGAAAATACAAGGTAAATTAAGATGAGGAGAATATTTATTCGCATGATCAAACTGTTCAAGATCTCAACCTAAAAAAAAACTATAAATTGAAGTTAAGTTAAGATATGTATATGTGTCTACTTAGGAATGATGAAAACAAAAGAATACTACATTTCAACGGCCATGCCATATTTTCATTGCTGGGGTAAAATAGACAATGTTAGTTCCCGACCACTCAATTGAACTTAATCCACTCAGAGTGAGCCGCACCTGACAACAGCGAAAAATGTATTGAACATTTCATCTATGAGATCATAACATTCTAGATCCAGCATCACAACACATGATCTATATCTAGCCATGGTTTCGAGGATTGCAGCCCTCCTTCTGAATGATGGAGCGTTTATATCACTTAAGCCACTGAAAGTACTCACAAGCAACTGAAAGATATCCTGGAAATATATCAAACAGAAACAGTCAGAATATATGTCATACGTATACACGGTAAAAAAACCAACATACTTTAAAAATAAATTCTGCTGTTCTTATTTCAAGAGAGGAAGTACCTTAAAGACATCGTCATCAAAAGGGGCCTCGGGTGCAGTAATTCGAGTTATTTCACAAATGCAAGAAGCTACAAAGAGCTTGACCTCCCGGTCCTGATGTTTCAAATATTCTGGCTTGGCTACGGCATTTATGAGGGGCTGCATAGAGTCCATCACTGATTTTTCAGGTGACTGATCCAAGTCAGCGAGACATGCTTCACTTTGCTGCAACAGTATAAACCATCGAATTACTATACAGCAATCAATCGAGAATCTAAGTCATTTTATGTCTACCAACTATAAACTTGCAGCACTTACGGCCTATAGTTGCCTATAGTTAAACAGCAGAGTTCAGTACTTTCTGGCATGCGGCATGTATACTAACGTACATATCGTGAAAGCAAATTTGCTTGATGGTGAGCAGGAAGAAACAGAAATAAACAAAATTTAGGGCTCCTGATGAGGTAACCAGACTCAAATGATAAAACTGGTTACACGGAGAATAGATGTCTTCACACTTATTTAATTAGGTACAAACAAAGGATAAAAGATAAGATTCACCAATTCCTAATAGAATTATACATGAGTAGCACAATTGCGCTCTTTCATTTACCAAGATTCACACTCATAAATAATACGTATACAAGTCTGCATAAATTTTTTGTCAGGGCAAACTGAAGCGAGGCCTGAGAGCACACTAATTAAGTATACCCTGAGAGGAAATAAAATTCTTCCAACTGTTCATGCACAGCCGGATTGAAGACGAGAAAAGATGGTCAAACTTTCTGCTTTCTCCCTCTGACAATTTAATATTCAGGTGAAGGTTGGAGTTTTAAGAGAAAATATCAAAATACTCCAACTTTATTTTCTCCCAAATAAACTAATCTCACCAAGATCATGGAACCCTAATTAGCACCAAGACACAATTTTTCCAATGCCGAACACCGGCCTGAAATCTCCACATCACTCCTAACTAAGAAGTACTCTAATAAAGATTCGATCTTTTTGCCAAACGACACCTAAAACAAAACCTAATTCAACCATAAACCATGGAATCTTCGAAAAACACACGAATTTCAAACATGCACCAATAAACAATACTCTTAAACGAGCACGGATTAACTAACAGGCACAGAAAATCAAAGCTCCTAACGAAATTCCAACGAAAGAAAGATGCCCAACTGGCGGTTTCTCACCTTCAAGAGCTTAACGAGAGCGTCTTTCGACGCCGGCGGACTCCCCAGCTTCGATCCCAGCTCCCTCAGCAGCAGCTGCACCTTTAGCGCCATTGAGAAACTGAGAAAAAAATACTAAACTCAATTCTTTTCACGCCTTCGATGTAAAGGGCTTTTCCATACGCATTCACTGCGTGTTTTCAGTGCGTGCTTTTTCTCTCTCAGGCTGTGTGTGTCGAATTGAATTGGGGCTCCTCTTTTTGTTTCTATGCGGGTTGTTTCGAACAAGAACACGAGAACTATAGCTCCTCTGTTACTTAAAATCAAATTTGGAAAAAAAATAAAAATAAAAATGGGGATATAATAATAAATAAGCCCTCGTGCTGGGCTTCGCCGGTAATAGAATTTTTTCACTTTTCGGGCGATAGAATTTTGCAACCGTGGTCTTTTAGTTAGTACTGTTTTCTTGTTAGTCCGGGTAGTTTGTGTTCTTTTACTTATTACCCCACTTTTCAGAATTCGAAAGTTGGTGATATACAATAAGATTTACCAAAGGTTATGGAATAAATCGAAGTGTCAGATTTTCATTTTATTTTATAATAATGAAGGAAGGAGTCATTGGATTAACGCGGCTTTCTTGGTTATTATAAGATTTTAATATTGAATTTTCTTTTATTATTTGATTTTATCATTCAAATTGAAAATCTAAACTTAATAATTTATGATATCATATTACAGCAATTACTATACTTTTATATGCGTTCGGGTTGAAACAATTACAAAAGCTATTTTATAACAGATTAACAGTCTAGTACTTGATTCATAATAATCTATTACGCAATGGGAATTTATTTGAAATAATATGTAAAGAAGCCTACGAAATTTAATTTTACAAATTCTAAAAATTTTTTGAAACCAAATTTGAACTATCCCATTGTTTACTTTATTTGATATTAAAAAATGTTTATTGTTTATTTTTTTATGTGATATAATTTAAATTTAGTTATTAGATTTTCAAAGATTCATCATTTTTATACTTGTCTACCAAAACTTATATTAATGACTATTATCTTTCTCGTCATCCTCATCTTCTTTTCTTCTTTCTCTTTCTTAATCCTTATTATTTTCCTCTTCCCATGGAACAATCAGCTAGTCATGGATGATGAACATCGTGTATCGTGGTTTTGTGTTTGAGAGAACCCGCACTAACGATCATGGTTAACACGAGATGTATTGTGCTCGAAAGAGCGTTTTTTGATATCTTAGTGCTTAATTAAATAACAAATGATTACATAGGCTATTTAAATAAGAGAAATACGAAGCCTATGATGATACAAATTATAATCTTAAAGAAAGTAAATATCTATAGTTCTAAGAATCTCCAAAATAATCAAATACATGTGCTAAATGATGCGGAGATCCAGGCGCTTCAGATCAGTCTTCAGATTTCAGCCTTGATGGGTCTACTTCTAGATCTGAAGAGAACCGGTGGATTTGAGTTCAGATCTGCTTGAACCGCTACTAGATCGCGAGAATACCTGCAAAAACTCAACGCCGGAGGTGTTTCCGGCGTAGAGCCTCCGACGCTCAAGTCAGTATCAGAGTGATGAAGGGATGTTGCGCAGCAGCTATGAGGGGAGTGTGGAATGAATGAGAGTTAGGGTTTAGGGTTACCTCATCCCCTTTATATAGGAGTGAATGCTTACTTGAAGTACCCGAAATGCCCAAGTCGGTGGACCTAAAAGGTCCAAAATGCCCCGGTCGGTTCTTCTAGATTCTCCTTTATCCCTTGAAGTATAAGAGATTCCAAGAAATATACCAAGTGTATGGAATCGTCGGTGTGCCTCTCGTCTCGAGGTGCGAGGTACAAGGAGTCGACATCGAGTATTGTTTAATAGAGATTTGTGGGTATGTGGTAACCGAGTTACCCGACTCGGGTCGTTCTCTAAGGAAGGCTATTCGGAGCTTTGGTTGCTATTCAATTGTCCAAAAACACAAAACGAGAGAAATAAATCCTAAACATTCTATTCATTGGTTGAAGATTGATTAAGCACTAGATTAACTAAGAAAGTAAGCAACTAGCAATTAAACAAGCAATTATACTAGAAACCCTAGCTTACTAAACCGGAGAACCGAAAATCAACAAAAACGAGCTAAAACAAGAGGAACGAACTCCATCTACTACACTTAATAGTTAAAGCCGAAGATTCTACGACGAAATAACCGAGCTCAATATCATAGTCACGATGTTTCAAGTAGAAATTCACACTTCAACAAACTCAAGCACAATAGACAAGCTCAAAAACTACAAAAACACGGAAAATGACTAAACGGGCAAACATATCCGATAAACGAGCAAGTCCAAATCACTTCTACTAACTAGATAGCTAATTAGGTGCACAATACGAAAATATAAGTCTTAAAAGTAAGTACTCACATTCCTAGTGCATGCTTAGTCGAAATCGGAGTAAAAAGGTATAAACTTGCATAAAAATGAGAGTTGCCGGAAATAGTTCGCCGGAAAATACTAAGCTAGAGAGAATCTAGAGGGAAATCTAAAAACCAAAAACATTACCAAAAAGAGTAAAGTAGCAAATGAAATCTAGATGTTCAATTACAAAGGGCCAAAACATATATATAGTCCAGCTCCAAAAACACACAGTAGAAACACGCAGATTAAATGGCACACTCTCGAGCTCGCGGGGACTTCCGCGGGCGCGGGCGCGAGTTGGCGCTGTCTGGCTCGAGGAATGCACGGGACTGGCGCGAGAGAAAAGGCTACTCTCGATATCGCGGGTAGATTCGCGGGCGCGGGGCGGCAATGGAGTGCTACTCTCGAGCTCGCGGGAGAATTCGCGCGGCGCGGACTGGGAAGGCACGGGCCTGGCGCGAGGTAGCGCGGGGCAACGAACTACTCTCGATGTCGCGGGGTCTTTCACGGGCGCGGGCACGGGAAAACACTGAAGTGCACAAGAGGGAAGGCGATACTCTCGATGTCGCGGCTATCTTCGCGAGGCGCGGGCACGGACTCTCGAGCTGGCGGCGGATTTCGCGGGTGCGGACACGGAAAATGGCCCTCTCGAGTTGCGGGACACCTGGCGCGGGCGCGAGTGTGCTGGGCCTAGGCTATGAACCTCCGCGAGCGCTGGATGTGTCTCGAAGTCGCGAGTGAGGCTGACTTTGGGAGTTTTCATCAACTTTGGCTCGAAATCTTCGGAATGAATTAGCTCAATGGTTCGGGACTTCTCGAAACTGACTCGGCATACTTGGAAATCTCGTCTCTCGGGACTCGGTTCGACTCTTCTCATCATCCTCAGAAATAAACCTGAAAATAACACCAACAAGCACGGAAAAAAAAAATACGCCAAAGACACAAAATGAAAGAAAAACACAGAAATACACGAAAAACAATAAAATGGACCGGTCAACGCTAAAACAATCCTAAAACCGACTCAACTATGCACAAGAAACACATAAAAAGAAACACAAAAACACAATAAACAACTCCCCCACACTTAGCTCTTTGCTTGTCCTCGAGCAAACAAAACGTTAAGTAGCTCAAAAAGAAGTGCCAAATAGTCCAAGGTTAACAAATGTGCAATAATGAAATCCTCATTTTCCTCCGGTAATCCAAAGAGTCAAACTCAAATTTGTAAACACGTTCCCCACATATAAATTCATACAAAACAAAAACCCGTCCCAAGTCATCCTACACATGATATTCTCGATTTAAGCTACCTTTTCACATATGCGTGCAAAAAGCTAATGCGGTCAACTTTAAAAGATAAAATACAATAAACACGGACCAATAAGCCAACTCCCATTCGTTATTTGATTGCTTTTGCTCTTTTTTTTTATTATTATTAAAAAAAAGAAAGAGAATAAAAGAACGAAAATAAAGAAAACCAACGAAAATAATAAAAGAAAAGAAAAACGTGGGTTGCCTCCCACGAAGCGCTCGGTTTAATGTCGTGAGCTCGACAAAGCCATCAATTCCTCAATAATTAGGCTCGTCGAGCCGAGAATAGAGTACTCGGATTTCCTTGGCTTTCCCCTCGAGATAGGGCTTCACCCGGTGTCCATTCACTTGAAAAGTCGTCTTGTCGGTTGGGTTGAAAAGCTTAACTACCCCGGAAGGAAAAACCTCCTCGATTACGAAAGGGCCGCTCCATCTTGAATTCAATTTCCCGGGAAACAATCTAAGTCGAGAATTAAAAAGAAGTACCTTCATCCCGGGTGAGAGCTCCTTTCTTATAATCTTCGAATCGTGCCACTTTTTTACTTTGTCCTTGTAAATCCGGGCATTCTCATACGCCTCATTTCTCAACTCGTCCAATTCATCGATTTGCAAGTGTCTCTCCTTTCCGGCCAAACCAAGCTCGAAATTAAGGATCCGGATAGCCCAATATGCTCTATGCTCGATTTCCACCGGAAGGTGACACGCCTTCCCATACACTAAACGAAATGGACTCATACTAAGGACACCTTTGTAAGCCGTTCGATGTGCCCATAATGCATCTCCGAGTTTTTGGGACCAATCGCGTCTCGAGGCACTCACGGTTCGCTCGAGGATGGCCTTAATTTGCTTATTACTCGTTTCGACTTGCCTGAAAGTTTGAGGGTGATAAGGGGTGGCAACCTTGTGAGCTATCCCATTCTTCTCCATTAGCTTCTTGAAAACCCGGTTGCAAAAGTGAGAGCCTCCATCACTAATTATTGCCCGTGGAAAACCGAAACGATTGATGACATGAACTTGAACGAACTTCACCACAACCTTAGCATCACAACTCCTAGTTGGAATAGCTTCTACCCACTTGGAGACATACTCCACCCCAACCAAGATGTACTCAAACCCATGAGATATCGGAAAAGGCCCCATGAAGTCAATACCCCACACGTCAAAGATCTCAACCGGCAAAAACGTATTAAGTGGCATCTCATTCCTTCGCCCAATATTCCCCGAACGTTGGCATCGATCACACGAAATAGAGAACGCGTGAGAGTCTTTGAAAATCGTGGGCCAATAGAATCCGCTTTGCAACACTTTGAATCCCGTCTTTCGACCGCCAAAGTGGCCTCCACAATCCGATGAATGGCACGCGGTTAGAATGGTTTGTTGCTCTTTCTCGGGCACACACCGTCTTATGACCTCATCCTTGCCAAGATGGAAGAGATAAGGATCTTCCCACATAAAGTACCTACACTTAGCAATGAATCTCTTCCTTTCTTGGAAGGATAGGTCGTCATTCAAGATACCACTAGCCAAGTAATTAGCAATATCGGCATACCAAGGCACACAA